ATAGATAGATAGATAGATAGATAGATAGATAGATAGATAGATAGATATTTACTTATGAAATTAAAATAAGAATAATATATGCAAGACTTAAAAATGAATTCACAGATGTGGTGGAGAATTCCTGTGACCTGCTGGGAAGCTGATGAAGAGGTTGGCAGGTTAAAGGGTAGAATACAGAGTTCCAGGCCAGCCTGGGCTACGTAGTAAGAGCCCACCTTAAATAACCTTAAATGTAATCAGAGAAAATATATTCCTAGTTACAAAATAATAACTGTATAATGAAAATTTGATGTGTGTAATATATATATATATAACTCAGCTCTAAAGATAAAGTTTAAAAATTGGCAGGAAATGAATGTATTTAGAAAAACCACGTTCTCTCTTATATACAGAATCTAACCAGTAATATAGGTATATATGTAAACAAGTATATGTGTTGAGTATAATATTCCATGAAGGGAAAAGAAAGGCTAAATATTAGGGGACAAGGAAAAAAAAAAAACTGAATTCAGGTAATAGACATTAGTTATGAAAGAGGATATAAACCTAATTGTTTTTCTAGTTCTAACTCTGTCATAGATTTTTTGTTTTGTATGGTAGATAAGTACATAAATATATTTGACACCAAAAGTGTAAATTTTCATGTAATACTCCATAGCTTCCATTCCAAATGCCTATTCTTTGAGTTGTATAGAGTTTGGGTCTGTTTAATTTGGATGTGTGATGTTTTGATTTATTTGCAAGTTTTTTTTTTAAGTTCATAAAATTAAAAAAAATATATGTGTTTAGGATATCCTTAGCATTAAAATACAAAATACAAAAACAAAACAAAACAAAACCAAAACAAAACAAAAAACATATCTGCAAACTTGGCAGATATGTGTACATAAAATAGGTGTATAAAGCAGAGATTTACTGACAAATTATAAAAAAAAAAATTTTTAAAACAACTTTGCTTTAAAAGGATTTTACCTTTTACTAAAGACTAAAGTAGGGCTGGAGAGAGGGCTAAGTGGTTACAAGCACTGGCTGTTCTTCCAGAGGACGAAGGTCTGTTAGGACACATGGCAGCCCTAAACTGTCTGTCTGTAACTCCCATTCCAGGGGATCCGACACCCTCACACAGACATATATGCAGGCAAAACAGCAATGCATATAAAATAAAAAAATACATTATATTAAAGACTAAAGTATGTTATGGAAGTTTTGGTTTATGATATGTAAACATGTTTTTGTTTTGATCCTAGGTGTGGGTTATGGGACTGTAACTATTTGCCTGGTGCGGGCTCTGAGAGGGGCTCTTTGCTAGCTGCAGATAGTTTAATTCTGAGGACTGTAAGAGGGAATAAATCCAGAGCCCAGAGAGATAAAAGGGGGCTCCAAGGAAGAATGCTACTGGTGCTCACCCTTCTGCTCCTGGTTGCTGTTGATGGAGCGTGACAGGAAGTCACCTGATATCCTAAAATCAAGACTGGACTTGCCCCAAGGAGCTCCATCCCTAACCAGCAGGAAGTAGCTAAGGGGAACTCTGGCCCTTGCCCCTCTAACCTTTTCTCTCCTACCTGGTATTAGGATGTTGGAAGGGATTGGGGTAGAGAAGGGAGAAAGATATATAAGAAACAAAAATAAAAATAGTTTTAAAATGTTTTAATAGTTTAAAACAACAACAACAAAAGTAAATTTGTATTTTAATGAAATGCACATGCTTGTTTTTCTTTGAAGCTTGGCCAAATATTTGATATTGTAGAGGGCACAGAGCATCTTCAACATTTTTTTTTTCCTTTGGTTTTTCAAGACTGGGTTTCTCTGTGTAGCCTTGGCTGTCCTGGACTCACTTTGTAGACCAGGCTGGCCTCGAGCTCACAGAGATCCATCTGCCTCTGCCTCCCTGAGTGCTGGGATTAAAGGCGTGTACCACTGCTAACAGCTCTGAGTTTTAATTTTAGAACTGTCTATGCTGAGAAGATTATTTTACATAATTATTTTACAAAATACTTGAAGTAGAGCCACTTTAGAAATTGTTGGAATTTTATCCCAATCCCAAGACAAAACTCATTTTAGCATTTTTTTTTTAAAATGAGACTCAAGCCAGCCATTCAAACAGAAACTTTTAAAGATTTATTTTGTTTAATTATCTGTGAATGACTGGATATATGAACATGAATGCAGGTACCTAGTAAGGCCAGAGGGGTCTGATTCCGTAGAGTTGGATAAACAGGCCATTGAGAGCTGCCTAGCTTGGGATCTGGGACCAAATTCAAGTCCTCAGCAAGAACTGTATACTCTCAACCACTGCTCGCCATCTCTCCAGCTTAGAAAGGGTCACAGTTTTTTATTTTAGTTCCTTGATGAAGGTCTCATGTAGCCCACACTGATCTTGAACTCAGGATATTGCAAAGACTGACCCTCCTATTTCCACCTTCAGAGAGCTGGGATTACAGGCAAAAACCACCACACCCACTTCATTCTGTACTATGCTGGTGACTGGATCTAGGGCTTTGTGTGTGCTAGACGTGAACTCTTTCAACAGTTATATCTACAGGCCCTAACTATTAGTTAGTTAGGTTTTGTTTTTTTTTTTTTAAAGACAGGCTCTCTTTGCATAGTTCTGCCTGGCCTTAAATTCAGAGATCCACCTGCCTCTTGCCTCTGTCTCCCAAGCATTAGGATTAAAGGCTTGTAACACCATGTCCAGTCCTATACATCAATTTCAAATCAAGCATTCTAACTCAATACAATCCAAAGACATACCAATTTCATAATTACATGTTGAAAATGCATAGGAAATCATTACATCTGCTTCCCATTTTAAAAGCCATTATATTTAAGAGCAGAACATCACATACATTCAGTAAAATGCTAACACTTCATAACATAAGCAGTCTGACCCCAGAGCTGAAGTGTCTGGGGCAGTGTTCTTAAGAGGGGCTACAGTGAAGTCACAATACAATAATAGTGGGTGCAGCCATAGGCAATGTAGACTTGTTCACTATTCGTTTCATTCTGAATTTGATTTTGGTGGTGATTGAGTGCTCACAAATACTTTACTGCTGCCAATTTTTTTGTGATGTGACGCCATATGAGTTCCCAACTCAGTTTTAATAATCCATGTTCTAGACCAATATTAAAAATATTTTAGGAAAGGTTGGTTGTTGGACTCAGGCCTGTAGTTCCAGCCTCTCAGGAGGCTAAGGTAGAAGGATTCAAGTTTAGGCCAGTCTGGGTGACTTAATAAGACCCTGTCTCAAAATAAAACTTGAAAGATGGGCTGGGTTTAAAGCTCAGTGGTACAGCACATGCCTAGCATGTTTAATCCCTACTACAAAAAAAAGAAAAGAAGAAAAAACCAAAAACAAAAAGGCCCCAAAAGAACCATTTTCAGAGGAAGCTAGGGATCACCTAAAGGGAAGAAGTGAAGAGAAAGAAGGAGAAACTGTTCCTTTTGGAAGGCATACAGGTTTTCTTCTAGAACCGGAAATAGGGAGGGTCATTCCCAGCATTACAGGCACTGTGGGTCCTACTCAGTACTGATTTTCAGATAGTTTCAAATCCTAAACTGCTGTCTACATGTAAATCTTTTTTTTCTTGTATGTTTGTGAACTTATGCTATCTGCTGAGGCTAGCCCCGATATCCTGAATTTCCTGCTTCAAGAATGCAAAAAGCTGGGACTACAAGCATGTACCACCACACCCAGCTTCTAATCATTCATTATCTGTCAAAGCCTCACAGCTTTTTAGAAGGCATATCTAAATTTAATAGGTAAATTGCTACTTTATTTCTAAAACTTAACAGAAACATATAACATTATAAAAACACAACTTAATTTATATACAATTCCAAAATCTTACATAATATTTAACATTAAAAACTTTCAGAAACATAAGCATCTTAGAGTCAGAAATTAACTAATCTTATTTTTTGCTACCCAAAACATTTTAAATTATATATTAAGATAATAAAATTCTTACCTGAAGCATAAAAGTCAGGATCGAAGTATGTCAGAAGCAGAAAGTTGAATACAACCAGCATAAAGCCAGAAAAGGTTATAAGATTGGGAGCCAGCCAAGTAGGAAATACCTGTTTGTTTGTTTTTCAAAATAGTTGTAAATTAAAGAGAGCTCTGTTCAATAAACATCACAACATACAAATTTAGGTTATAAAAAGCTATCAGTTTGAAAGATCATACGCAGGAGTTATGCATGTTAAAATGTAAACAATAGCTCCAGCTGGTAAATGAACATTTCTTTCTTCTTCCTACCCCTATCTTTAAATGATTCTTTAATACACACACTTTTATGTTAGCATTCAGTTAATTTTAGAAAATTTCAAAAAGCCTTTTTATAAAAATGATCTATTACAGTGTATACAGTTAGATTTCCAAAGGACGATACCCTGAAAGGGAGGGTTGGCTGGGGAGGGGCGAGAAAGGGGCACCTTGATACAGCTTATGAAAAACACAGCCTGCACGCACAAGCCTGTAATCTCAGTTACTCAGGACGATGAGGCAGGAGGATTCCAAGCCCAAGGCAATTCAGTGAGTCCCTGATTTAAAAAGTAAAAGGGGGCTAGAAAGTTGGCTCAGTGATTTAGAGCACTTATTCTTTCAAGTTCAATTCCCAGGACCACATGGTGGCTCACAACCATTTCTAAGTCCAGTTCCAGCTCACCAGATGCCCTCTGCTGACCTCCAAGGACACTAGGCACACATATGGTACTGACATGCATGCAGGCTAAAAATTCATACTCATAAAAAAATAAACAAATCTAAAAACAAATTTTTCAAAAAGTAAAAAGAAGGCTGAGGATACGGTCCTGTGTGGCTCGACTAGATGGCATGTATGGGGCCCTAGCTTCAATAACTAGAGCAGCAAAAAATAAACAGAGTGGCAGCAGTACGACTCCGTAAGATGGGCTAAAATACTAAAAAAATTTTTAAACAAAGATAAACATCATTAATAATCTTACCTTCACTATAGTGTTCCAAAATGGATGCATGATATACAGAGAGAGTGGGTTGGTATCCAAAGCACTGTACTGTTAAGAAACAAAACATTTCAAAGTTAACCCTCAAGTACTAACAAATATAACAGCATTTCTTAATGAAAACAGCAGTGTGAAATAACCCTGGAGAGACATCTATTTATTTGCTATTCTCTTCTGGAAGACAAGATTGGAGTAGCAATATAGATAGCGCAAGACTGTCAACCAGTCAGATATTACTTTACGGCATAAGGGAAGGGCCATAGGGGAAGCAAACAGCTCAGACCAAAGCATGGAGTCAATCCTGACGTGGCTGTTTCATTTGCATACGCCCAGAGTCCAAACTGCCAGAATCACTGACTCATCCTTCCCCCCAAGTCAACTTCATAATGTTGCAGTGTTTCAGTAAAGACATTCCACCATGGACTGGGGATACAGCTGAGTGTTACAGCATCGGCACTCTAGGCATTGGCACTGGGGGAGACTTTTAAGAGAAAGTTATAGTTATTATACGGGATAGGTGATACGCATACTGTGCACATTAAACAAAGACCAGACACTTTTCTCCTACATCCCTCTTTTGTTGTTGTTGGTTTGGTTTTTTGGTTTTTCATGACAGGGTTTCTCTGTGTAGCCCTGGCTGTCCTAGAACTCACTCTGTAGACCAGGCTGGCCTCGAACTCCACCTGCCTCTGCCTCTGCCTCCCAAGTGCTAAGATTAAAGGTGCGCACCACCACCACTGTACAGGGTAGAGTATAGTTGTTTCACTCACACACACGCACACTATTATTAAAACTCTTACTGGACAACTTTGAGTGACCTTTCTGTCTCATTCACCTGTGAACTGAATGTGACAGCCCTTATCTCAGAGGCCTATCACGGGATTTGGGAAGTTAATTATACACGCAAAGCACCCAGAATAGTACATAGTAAGTGCAATCTAAGAATCAGTTATTATTACAGGTGCTAAGCAGCAAAGGAATGACAAACCCCCTCACAGCAAACTGTACAAATAAATGAGCGAACACAAAAACTAGAGTAATTGTGTGGTAATATTGTACTCCAATTGCCAAATGAAATGTTTAGTAAGAACTGGTAGGGGAAAGACTTGCAAAGAAATTTTAGCAGATAAATTAAATCTGCATAAGTTATACTAAACACACACACACACACACACACACACACACACACACACACACACACTGCAGGAGGTCCTCTACTAGGTAAAGGGATTAAGAAATAAAAAAGTAGAAAGAGCCAGATAAAGGGATGCAAGCCTTAATCTCATTACTGATACTGAATGAGATGACAAGTTCCAGGTCAGCCTGGGCTACACAGTGAGACTGTGCCTCAGAAGAACCCAAAACGCCAACAAGACGGCTCAGCTGTAAAAGGCTCCTGCAGCCTAGCTTGACGGCCCAGGGACCACACGGTGGAAGGAAAGGAGCAGCTCCCATACATGTGTCATCACATGCACGGGCCTACACACATGAAATAAATAAAAAGTTTAAAACAACCTCAAACTACAACTAAATAAATACAGACAAGCAGAGCAGAACTGCTGAAAAGTCATTTCCATGCTCAAGAAGTTGATGGTGTTATCTGGGATAGGAGTATGTAATTAATCTACCTGACACTTAAATATTCAACTAGCCAATGTTTGGGAATTGTTGGCCATACTTTATGTTTATGTTTAGCATGTACATAAAATAAATAGTAAGCAGTTGTAGCTTTAATAGTTATATAACTATTATATAACTTTAATAGTTATATAATACCTCATTAATTAGCATACTTAATTCATTAATAGTCAAGGTCAAATTGTAGCTAAAATTTGGTTGGTTGATTGGTTGCTTTCTAGTCAGGGTTTCTCTGTGTAGCCCTGGCTGTCCTGGAACTCACTCTGTAGAACAGGCTGGCCTAGAACTCAAAGAACCACTTGGCTTTGACTCCTGAGGGCTGGGAGTGTGCCACCACTATCCAGCTCTAATATTTTTTAAGAGAGTTAAGGTCAAGAATGTTTTATGAGTATACAGCCAATATTTTCAATGCTTCAAGTACTAAAATATGAACAAAACAGGAACTGAAAATGATTAAAATACTGTTAGCTCAGTAACTCAACAGTACCCAACAGTAACTCAACAGTACTATGTCAGTAACTATATAGTCAAAAGACTCTATACAGGTGTGATGTTCTTTCACTTCTCTAACCCATTATGACTAAAATGGAATAACTATCTGGAACAAAAGACCTGGCCCAGGGAAGAAGAAAAAGATGATGGACGTGAGGTTTGCTTGTACTCAATCGCATTCCTGAGCTATCTCCAGGCTTTCAGCAGGCCTCCTTAAGTTGTCTTAATATGACTTTCAGCAAACTATGCTGTTACTCGGCTTTCTCCTTCACCATCACAGTACACAGCAGACATCACCACAGGAGAGCAGGCACCTGCCCTGACAGCTCACCTGAAGCCTCCAGACTTAAGCGTCTGAAACTCTATGCAAATGAGGGAGTGTCCTGGTCTCCAGTTACCACACGATGAAGCTCCTGAAAAACTGGAAAAGCTCCCATTTCAAGCCACCACCACCCCCCACCCCCCCGCATGGAAGTACAAAAGCTGTAAGTTCAGGTGAGGTGGAAGTAGCTAGGGCGCAGCATGAGCATCTAATGGGCACAGTGTCCAAACCCCATCTGTTCAAACAGCCCTGCTCAATAGTTCTCCTAATTTTGAATTAGAGCCAAAAGAAAGTCTTTACTGGATGATATTTCAATGTGAAAAAGCTCTTTTTATAGTCTGACACTTTAAACCTCTAGTCTAGAAGCCCGGAATAAGTAAGATAATAACATAAAATAAATAAAAAAGGGACATTTTATCCTCTTGGATTCTAATCTGACATTCAATAGTAGCCAATGGTCAAGTATATTATAGCAAGAGAAGTGTGTGATTCCAAGAAGCAAACAGCAACCCTAAACAATACTCAGTGCTCTCAACTTACACCCATACTTCTTAAAGCAACATGCCACTTAAACACATTCTTACCAGCCCTGACTCAAGAGGGGGGAGAAGGACAAAACTTCATCTTGAGGGGAGAACAGTATAAACCACTGAAGGTGCTACACGGGATAAGGTGTTTGCTCACGCTGGCTAAACACTGCCTTTGCACTGGGATGTTTCGGTACACCCAGAGAATGTGAACCTGGTGACTAACCCAGGTAACAGCCACCACAGCTTACTCTGGCTCCACAGTCTAGAGGGTCTGAAAAAGTACTCAAGACTACAGCCTTGAATTGAGAGACTTCTCCAAGGGAACTATCCAAAGGTGACCTAACTCCACAGCACATCTGAGCCACAGCTAGAGCAGTCTCAGTGACCTGGCTTTTTAAGTGTTTCCGGTTGCCGCTTCCAGAGAGAATACAGTCCAAGGTTAACAGCTTCTCCATGCACTAATAAATCCCTGCAACCCCAGCCCCTCAATCCTGGCTTTCATTTTCTCTACAAAGGAGAGCCTAAAAAGCAGACCTTTCAATAGCTGGCCACTGCGCTCCCTGACACAGCAACTCCTCCCTCTATGCTCCCATACATTCGCCTTTTGTGGCGCCTCTTCTAACATTTTCATCTTGTTTGCCACGTGCGTGTAGTTCACTAGACCAACGGTTAGAGAGCTTCAGTTGAGTCAAGTAATAAATACCTTAGGCTTTGGACAATGAGTCTCTGCAACAAATACATCACTGCCATTAAAGAGAAGTAGCCACTCTAAATATAGTTAATAATTAAAAAAAAAAAGGCATGGCCTTGTTCTAATAAAGCTTCATTCACAAAAGCAGGTGCTAGGAGACTCAGAAACCCCACAACAGACAACCCAATATGCTGTTAATCCAACGCAGAGCCTGACTTGAAGGCAAAAGGAAACTGAAATGGTGCTGAGTGAGGAGGCAGCCTGGAAGCTTCTGGATCTCAACAAGGCAGGCTCCTCAGCACAGACTACATCCTCTGGCAACATATTCATACCGCAGGCCAGAAACCTTCAGTGACCTGGCCCCTCTGAACCGTCCCGTATGGGCCACTGGGCCACCCTGCTGTATACTAACACGAGGCTAGCCATAGGAAGCCAAGCTTAGGACTACACTGGCCCTCTTCACACTTCATCTGCTAGAGTCAACTTATTTTCTACACTTCCCAGAAAGGATTTTTTTTTTAATCCAGATTAAGTGCCCAAGAAAGTAAGTGCCTCTAAAACCCTCAGCATGTAAATCTAGTCATGCTATTAACAGCATTCCTTAGGCCTCATAAAAATGCCAATTAAGCTTTCAGGCCACTCTCTCGGGATGGCTATTGCGTGATTGCATCTCATCATTTTTATTTGCATGTGAAACTCTGCAATGTCATCTAAAGCAATTATGCCTACCTTATAGTAAAAGACTTTCATAGACCAGTGAATGAAATCCACAGTTACTCTAAGTAATGCTTTGCCAAACAGCCAAAATCAAAAGCTTTACTTTTTTTTTTTTTTTTTTGTATTTCCAGACAGGATTTCTCTATACAGCCGTGACTGTCCTAGACTCACTTTGTAGACCAGGCTGGTCTCACAGGGACCTGCCTGCTTCTCCCTCCCTGAATTCTGGGATTACACGTCTGCACCACCACACCCAGCTGCTTTTTTAAACTGTCAATCCGAGTTGAGAAACAAAGCAGAATTCACTCTTCCCTCACCTGTCGGCTACAGTATTCATAAACACAGGCACTTTCTTTCTGGCAGAGGGTGTGCAGGACTACTACAGCAGAGTAGTAAAACCAGTGTTTCCAGAGTTCATCCAGACTGTAGTCCAGTTAGGCCAAAGGAAGAACACAAGCACACACCACGAGTAAGATAAGACAAGCCACGAATGACATAAGCCATGCTGTGGAAGAAGAGGGAGGCAGAGCAGACAGAAAGGAGGCCCTGGGGAGAAACCCAAGCCAGGAAATGCTGCCACACACCAGGAAATACCTAGAGCCACCAGATGCTGAGGCAGAGATTTTCCCCCTAGCATTTTTAGAGACAGTGGCCCTGCCAG